TAAAGAGAATGGGGCTGGTGAGAAGGCTCAGTGGTGAAGAGCACTGGCTGCTCTTCCAGAAGATCCAGGTTAGATTCCCAGCACCCAAATGGCAGCTAACAACTATTTGTAACTCTAATACTAGGGGATCTGATGCCCTTTTCTGGCCTTTGCCAATGCCAGTCAAACATATGGGGCACAGAGCCACATGCAGTCAAACACCTATTTAATATACTGACTGAAAAACCACAATTTCTGAAAATTGTCTATAGTATGATAAATTTTTATTATGTTGAAAACAGTATCATTTGGGGATACCTACATAAATTGTTAACATTTTAGTTTTTAGAAGATAAACATGGCCCAGAACAGTGGTGTATGCTTTTATCCCAGTACTTGAGGGAGGGGTAAATCTCTGTGAGCTACAGGCCAGCATGGTCTACATAGCAAGTTCCAAGGCAGCCCAAGTTACATGGTGAGACCCCCCTCCCAAGGAAAATAAACATAAAAAGCAACATATTGGTTACCTCTGTGGTGATGAAGACAATAGTTCAGGAAGGGAGCAGCTTAGATGACACTGGTAAGGTTTCAGCTCTTCCCAGAGTAGCCCTTTAACTGGCACGTACTGATTTTCCATCCTTCTAGACACTTTCTAACTTAACATGGGCCAGCATGCTACACAGATTCTTCTGAATGCAACAAATATTGCATAATAAAAGATGTCCTATTAAACTTTAATGTCACTTCAGAACCCCGAATACAGACTTGGAGGAAGTCCCCTGACCTCACTGTCCCTCTTTCCAATGTGGCCATATTAAATAAATCTTTCTCTGCTTACCACTAGTAATTTGGCTCTTTTAGTAGACTTACTGTGGATTAGTGGCTGAATCTGGCTTAGGGAACAGGCTGTGAAACCCCAAGTTCATTGATAACATGGTAATCACAAAGGGATAAAAGATACACTTGGGGGGGTGTCTACCGCCCACAGCCAGCTGACCCCAAAAGGAGAGGAAAGAAGAAAGATCCCAGCCATGGCTGGAGTCATTTTACTCTGAGGACATTTTCCCATCTTTCCACTTCAGTGGGCATCAGCTGCCCTTTACTTCTACTTGGTCAAGCAGAAAAATGAGTATTTGGACATTGTTTTGGATTCTCAAGGAAGTTTCACCCTTGTAGCTATGAGGAAGGTGGTAGGAGAGAGAGAGAGAGAGAGAGAGAGAGAGAGAGAGAGAGAGAGAGAGAGAGAGAGAGAGAGAGAAGAGTTGAAGTACAGCTCTGAAAAGGGAACTTAAAGAACATACTTGGACATTACTAACAGGTCATGCAGAACAGACTTCAGGATTCTTCCAGAGCTGTTCTGACAGATGAACAACCATTCATCCTTTAAGCTCAACTCACTTCTTTCTGAAGTCTTCCTGAGCAGGATGGCCCCGGTTTGTTCCCCTCAAAGACATGACACCTGTGCCACCCGTGCCTCTACTTTCCCAATCATATCAAGAGACCAGAACCCTCCAAACTGGTATAGAGATTATTTCAAAGTGAAAACATGAGCTTCAGAAGAAAGAACTGTGCCTGAGCTTCCCTCGTCTGCTAAGAATGAAAAGCAGGATACCACAAAAACACCTTTGGTGATGTAACCTTAAGGTTACACCAGAACAATCAGAAAAATGATTGGGTAAATAAACCACATCAGAAGCCCTTACATCTCTGCCCCTCCTATGGTGGGCATATAAACTTTACCACAAACTCATCTGGGGACACCTGCTTGTGTAATACAACTTTCTTCTATTAAAATGTTCTGTTAAAATAAACAGTCTGGATCAGCGAAATGGCTCTGTAGATAAAGGCGCTTGCCACCAAGCCTCATAACCTGAGTTCAAGCCCCATAACCCACAAGGTAGAAGGAGGGAACTGACTCCTGGAAGTTGTTCTCTTACGTCCATACATATTCCATGGCATGCCGCCCCACACACACATCAATAAGAAGTGGTAATAAACTAATAAAATGAATAATATAATCAGCATTTTATTGCTCAACAGACATTTTATATATAACGCATTTTGATAAATGCTATAGATTTTAATTGTAATTGATATCTCAATATCTTAAGTTTCTGTGTAACATATGCAGCTTGGTACTCAACTTGGAACTTTGGACCTTAAGAAAGCAACAGAATTTTCAGCATAATGAATATTTACATACTAAGAAGTGACACTCAAAATATTTAACAACTTCTTTGGTTATATTAATTAATGTAGAAATCAAAAATTAACACCATCTGCTTGGTTTCCTTCTGTTCATAATGCTCAAGACAGTCCCACAAATTACCATTTCCAACAGGAGCCACAGGAGGGTGACAAGAGCAGTAAGCATAATCCTCCAACTGCATCTCAGGCCAGAGTTCTATAAGGTCCAGATCCAACTTGGATGACCTATGACATATGGGGCTGACTGGCCATGGGTTAAGCCTGATATCTCACTGAGAAGAGATCCTTGAGTCACTACCAAAATTAAATGGGAGCATGGACCATGCAGTTCATTTGAGGAAATTTCTAGGGGAAAAAAGTGTCAATGCCCTGAGAGAAGTATGTGTGTCCCCTGTGTTCGAGGAACAGAAATGAAGCTGGTGTGACTAGACAGAGAAAGAGATGGAAGTGGAGTTAGTAAAGGTAGAGAAACAACAAATGCTGGACTGGGAATGTAACTCAGCTAGCAGAATGCTTGCCTAGCATGCATATGCCCTGGGTTCCAGCCCTAGGACCTCATAAGCCTTCTATGATAACATACATTCAACCACATCATTTGGGAAGTGGAAGCAGAAGCATCAGAAGTTCAAGGTCAATCCTTGGCTTGAGGCTAGTCTGGGATACATGAGACCTTATCAAGGAAAAAAAGGCAGGTTTCTAGGTCATTGAAAGTAATAATTCTTAAGCTCAGTAAAATAAGATGATTTGAAGACAGGGGTGACATAATATAATCATGAACAGAACAGTCTGGAGGAGGTGAGAACAGAAGCAAGAAGGCCAGTGGGATGGCTCTTCTTATCATCCAGCTAGGAAACAGTGATCACAAGAGTAAGGATGGTAAATCTTATAAATTTCATCCTGTGTTCACCAATGTAGAAATGCTATTGAAACCACAATATTAGATGTCATCACTAGAAGAGTGAGCAAAGATGGAGAATGGGGATGAAGAGAATAGGAACCAAGACTGAGTCCTAAGATGTCATCATGGAGAGGTAGAGGACATAAAAAAAAAAAAACAAAAAGAGTTTGACCTGGAGCAGTCAGCTCTCCCCACAAGAGGTCACACAACCAACCTGAATTTGATGTCTTTCCTTTTCCTGAATGACTTTTACTACAAATGGATATGACTATAAACAACATATAGGATTATTCTATGTGATTTTCAACTTTATTAATGATATATCATACTCTGTATATTTTCTCAAGTACTGATTTGCTGTACAACCTAATTAGTGAAATTCATCTGTTAACAGGTGTCGTAGTAGGCCATTTAACTTTCACTGTTGTATGCTATTCCTTTGCATGAATGTGCCACATTAGTCTATTTCTGTGCACAAGGACACATAAGCTATTTCCCTTTCCCACTACCATCAATGACCCTGCCTCAAACATTCTCACATGGGCTTTCTTTTGCCTTGCTTTGTGTTCTATGGGTAAGGTTTCTCAAACATTATCATTCAGTAGAAACAATTAGAAATTTTACTAAAACTAGATTCTGATCTCACATCCAAAGTTTTTGTATAATCTAGAGCCTGAGAAGTTGCATTTCTGACAAGTTCCCCCAGGGTGTTTTTGTTCATGGTCCAAAAATGACACTAAGAATCAAAATACTGGAATAGATCAGGCATGCAGATGATGGTCACAGATGTGTAAGCACCTCTCTGGCTTTTTTACACATTGTCAACTTGCCTTGCAATGTGGGTGGCCTAATTTATGTTTCCATCAGTGGCAGGATCTTTAATACCAATTCTAGATGCTGTCAGATTTTTAATTTTTGCCATACTGAACCTTAATAACTTTAAAAATGAATCATAGAATTTATTCTAGTTTTAGTTGTGATGCTGTGATAAAACATTCTTGCCAAAAGCAACTTTTTTGGGGGGAGGGGCATGTTTGGTTTACAATTCCAGACTCAGACCATGATCCATCATTGAGGGAAAGCAAGACAGGAGTTTGAAGGTAGGTCTGCTTGCATTCCACACAGGATGACCTCTGAAGTACAGAAGAAACCACAGAAGGTGCTGCTTGCTAGCTGACTTGAAGGAAGGCTTACTAGCAGGCTTGAAGACTGCTAACTTTCTTATGGTGCTCAGGACCTCCTGCCTAGCAATGGTGCTTCTCACAGTGGGATGCCACACACACACACATACATATTTGTACATGTGTGTGTGTGTGTGTGTGTGTGTGTGTGTGTGTGTGTGTGTGTGTGTGTGTGTTCATAATCAAGGCAATCCCCTTCAGGCCAATATGATCTAGGCAATTCCTCAATAGAGGCTATAGTCTCAGAGGACTCTAAGCTTTGTCAAATTGTCACTTAGAGCTAACCAGGACAGCATATCCAACATACCCAACAGAAATAAACACCCTAAAGACAGTACATCCTAGAGTTAATCAGAATACACTCAAGCTTCTGTATTCTATAAAAATTGTTCCCAGTTACCTGCCATTTTCCCCATCAAAGCAAGGATGGTGTGGACAAGATCATCAAAAAAGTTATGAAAGGAAAAAGAATGTGTGTTCCTTTTAATGAAAAACTTCACTGTGGTTCTGTTTACTATAGTTTGAAAAGTCAATGGTGATATAAAAATTTTATGGACTAATAAGGAGAAAAGAAGTGAAAGATTGTTACAATGAAAACACCAAAGAAATTGAAGAAAACACTAGGAGATGTAAAGGTGTTCAAGGATTGGAAGAATTAATATTGTGAAGATGGTCAACCTACCAAAAGCAAACTACAGTATCAATGCAATCCTCATCAACAATCTGGTACTCACGTATCTGGTTGGTCGATGCACTGTAAAAGGCATTAACTGTTGTTGGATTGGTAAACCACCTGCAGAAAGAAAGACAAATGCCACAGGTAGGCATCACTATCCAGATAGGAAAACAGTAACCATATAACAACACAGATATTGATGCAAGGGAAAATTATTGCCTCATTTACAGCTCCTACTCTGTTGAATGAACAAATTTTATTAGCACAGTTTGGTGTAGCTGAAAGTTTTCCTGTGTCCTGCCTGGCCTGTGGTCAGGACAAATCTCTCTCACCCACCAGTCCTGCAGCCACTCAGACCCAAATAAACACACACAGGCTAATATTATTTTTAAACTATGGCCATGGTAGGCTTCTTGTTATCTAGTTCTTGTATCTCAAATTAACCCATTTCTATAAATCTATACTTTGGCCGGTGGACCATTTTACCTTGCAAAGTTCAGTGGTCACCTTCCTGTGGGTCCTGCATGTCCAGTCGATATAACATTTTGTCAAGTAATCCAGGCAAGAACAGTTTCTTGCCCAAATAGCTATTTTTGCCAAGAAGAAGATAAACTCTATATGGAGTGTCTTTGATGCCCATCTTTCTCTCTGAAGTAATTTGGTGCTGCCAGGAGCAGACAAGTCTCACTGTCTAGAAAGTCTAAATTTTTAAAACATTTTAAATGCCATATTCTGTAGGTCTTTGATGTGTTTGAAGATTACCTACCTAATTGAATTATATCTATGTATACCTAGAAAACTTAACATGACTATAAATTTGACTATCATAGAAGACTAATTATTAATCTGTATTTCTTAATCATCCATGACAATTTAAATGAGCTGCATAAACATAATACCTTAAACAAGAGTAGAAATATACATATAGTATAACAAAATTAACTTTAAATTTGTATCAATAAACTAAAATCCATAGCAACGTAAAACATTTTAAGCAAGTTGTTGCTCTTTAAAAGTAGACTCAATAATCTACGGAAGAAGACAGGGCGGGGGAGAAGCTGCTAGCCACTGCCAGAAGAAGCAAGATGTAAAGGTACTGGTAAGCCACAAGCCACGTGGCAAAGTACAGATTTATAGAAATGGATTAATTTGAGATATAAGAACTAGATAACAAGAATCCTGCCATGGCCATAGTTTAAAAATAATATTAGCCTGTGTGTGTTTATTTGGGTCCGAGTGGCTGTGGGACCAGTGGGTGAGAAAGATTTGTCCTGACCACGGGCCAGGCAGGACACAGGAGTTTGGCAAGAATATATTAGCAGGACTGGAGAGATTGCTCAGTGGTTAAACACATTGCCTGCTCTTCCAGAGGACCCAGGTTCAATTCCCAGTACCCGCATGGAAGTTAACAAATGTCTGTAAATACAGTTTTAGGGAATCTATGGTGCACAGACATTCATCCAGGCAAAGCTCCTATACACATAAAATAAAAAATAAATCTTTTTTAAAAGGAATACTAGCATGTCTGGCTTTTCACTAACAACAAAAACAATAAATAAATGAAAAACTCAACATGAGTGCATCTGAAAACCCTTTAACAAGAAGTTTACAAACAGGTGCTTCCTCTGAAAAATGGAAACATACAGCAGCAAACTGTTCTGTTCAGATGACCCATAGGACAGATATCTTTCTGGCTTATATCACTCCTGGCCTGTCTACAAAACCATTTTATATTGGTAATAATACAGAGATCCATTTAAAGATAAATGAATAATATACCACCGTGCTACTAGAGGGTCTACCTGATACTAGAGGGTCTACCTGCTGCTGTGAAAAGTGTACTGATTTAAGTTGCAAATGCCTCAACTATCTCTATAACCAGCTGAGTTTTGTTGGATCAGTCACCAATCTTTCTGGGGTTTGGTTTCAGCTGTGAAGTGAAGGTACTGGACTGGTAGGATGCTTCAGCAGTTAAAGTGCTTGCCCTGTAATCCTGATGGCCTGAGTCTTATCCTTAGAAGCATGGCAGAAGGAGAATACCCACTCCTGAAAGTTGTCCTCTAACCTTCACATAGGTATCATGGCATGTGCACACCACCTGTACTTACAAACCCATCATATACATGCACACACACATGCATGCACATAATAATAATAGTAATAACAATAACAAATTAAAGTGAAAGGTATTGTATTAAATGTTAGGATCCCTTATATCTATGAACCATCTGTTTTTATATTAAATACATAGGTTACTTAGATCAGAATGTAGCATTTTTTTCTGTAAAAAATTAGATTGTAAACACTTCAGGTTTTACAGATGAAGAAATAAAACTGAAGATTGTATACAGATATGAAATACTAAACTTTCCACAAATAATGTTTAATAAAATTAAAATACAATTATCAATAAGTATCAGCTTTATTCATGAAAATGACAGAATTCTTTTGAGGTGGGATATTATTTTAATTAACTGTGGTTCAACTTATAGATTATCAACATCTGAGAAATTTCAAACGTTTGTCTCTAAAAATCATTCTTGGTTCATGGGCTATGTGAAATAGCCAGGTGGTATCTAGCCCAGTCACTGCCTTTTATAATTAAATTTGGTCAATTCCTTTTAAACTAAATTGCTTAAAAATAAACTTGTACAGGACTAAGTGTTTAGCTTAGTGGTACAAGACCTACTTAGCATCCATGAGGTTCTGGGTTCAAACCCCAGCATGGAAAAAGAAACATATAAATCCCTTTTCAAAACAAACATTATCTTCTATGTCTAATAGAAAAACACCAGGGCAATAAATTAATGTATATCAGGTTAATATAAAACTGGTAGGAACCCAACTCTTGATTCTTATTGGTCTTCTCATACCCTTTTACTTGTGAAATGCCTATGACTATGTTATCCTATCATTGTGATTATTAGCTAGCAGTCACTAAGCACTTTGCTGTGTTCTAACTTTATCATTAGCCCATCTACAGATGAGGACAATGAAATTTAGAAGGATTGCATACTTGTGCAAAGTCTGGTCTTTCAGATTTCAAAGTAGTTCTATTAGGCCTTGCATTATTATAGAGATAGTAGTAGAAATCAAGAGAGTATCATGTCTTTTGTCAAATCGACTTAAGATAAGTGATTCCATTAGACCCTGGTGTTTATCAAAAACAGTTGCTGACTGACCTACTTTCTTGAGGAAACAAGCAGAGGAGAAAGTATCTTTGTTAATCCCAACTTTCTATCTATAGTGAATCGAATTATTGTTACATCCTAATCCCTGGGATCCTGCCATTACATAGCAAAAAGAATTTTGCAGGTGTAATTAAGGTTAAGGATCTGAAAATAGGGAGTTTATCCTGGATTATCCAGGTAAGATTATCTAATCCCACGAGACCTTAAGGGCAGGCAACCTTTTCCAGCTAGGATCAAATAGATGCAACAGAGGACTGGAGGTCAGAAAAGATAGTTGCAGACTGAAATTCAGGTAGACTGGAAGGGTGAGAAGGATTTTACACACTGCTACTGGCTCTTAAATGAAGAAGTCATATTCAAAGAAGTCAGATCCTCAGGCCTGCAACTACAGGAAGTGGATTCAACCATATATATATATGATAGTTGCAATAGTGTATGTTCCTAAAGACTGCCCCTTCTCTCCCCCTCACTTCTCACTCTGCCTGTTCACATAAAAGCAAATGTTCAAATCATTAGAGTGAGAAACATACATTGACATATTCCTAAATGCTGATAGACAAATCCAAACACAAAAAAAAGAAAAAAGAAAGAAACAAATAATGACTGGCTGAGGATCATTTCAGTGAGACTTCTAAAGCACCAGTAAGAGTTTATAAAACATCCTATCTCACATGTATGACCTTCTCATTCTTGACCCCTATCCAACCCTCAGAATTGCTATTTATTCTTTGGCCCATTTGGAGCCTTAATTGTCTCTGGAGCTGATATTAAGTATCTGCACCAGCAGGTCCTATCAGTTGTTGATGCTTTTATTTCTTCTGTTTATTCAGGGACCATGTCAATCCAGCTGTGAAACATTTTCTACATCTCCTTTATTATATCCAAGTTTGTTATATATTTAGTTTTACTATTCTCTGATGCAAACTTTCAATAGCTGTTTACAAAATAGTTTGTTCTTCTTCCATTAAGATATGAGATCTAAATTCCTTTCCTCTTTGTTATGGACTAATCTTGCTGACTCTCTGCTAAAGAATAAGAAATAATGGAGCTGGAAAGGAGCTGGCAGAGTGATTGCCTAGCATGCAGGAAGCACTAGGTACCATCCCCAGCACTGCATAGACTCGATATGATGGCATACACTTATAACCTGAGCACTCAGAAGGTGGAGGCCAGGGAATAATTCTCAGCTACATATCAAGTTTGATGTCAGCCTACGACATGAGACCCTATCTCCAAAAATAAATAAATAGAGTAATGTTTTGTAAAAATAAAGTAAAATAAAATGGCACTTGGTGACTTCCAAGGGTAACACACTGATGCACAAAAGAATAGCCTTTCTCCTTTCTTTCGTCCCCTCTCTCAAGAAATGAGCTATTCAACTATATTCACCAACCAACATTCTGTTAAGAAGTTCTACACAGAAAGGGTCCACACATAGGTGTTCCAGTTAGTAAGCAAAGAGAGAGGACCCAGCCACTATCTTACTAAAACTACATGAAAGAGCAGTAACTACAGAGCTAAGACTAATGGCCACACCTAGAATCAGAATATGTAAAAATTAAATGATAAGTGTTGCTTTGAGCACCTAATTTGATGGGGGTGGGGGGTGAGTAGTTATGCAACAACAAATAAATAGAATGTGGAAAATCTGACTCTCTGCAGATTAAGTCCTACCTAACAGGCTGAATTTTCCCAGTTTTATTTGCCAATATGATGGATTTTAAAATTATTAAGTTAGAATTCCTTAAAGTCAAGCATATAAACACTAATTCTTTTAATTGCTCACACTTGTCAAAGCTAGCCATCTCTTAATTGGTGGGGCCTGAAGGCATTCCAGTTTGTAGCACTTATCTCCTAGGATGATTTATGAGCTAAGACCTTCATCCAAATGGCATGTTCTGAGCAGATCATTAAATCTATTGTTTT